TCCAAAATCCTTGCTAAGTCATGTACCTGCCGAGGACAAGAAAATCTCGGCTGAGCTTAATGCTCAGTGAGCGGATAATAATGTAACTAAACAATGAATATGAGATAACAAGTTCAAAAGCAATTTATAAAGCCAAGTAATAATTCAAAAGAAAGTCAAAATTCCCCAAAAGCATATCAAGGGTCCGAAGACCAAACTGCATCACGAAGATGCGTTGTTCCCAAAGGATGATCAGTCCATTCAGGCACAAGTGAGGAAAGGGGTGTGAGCATAACACAGCAATCCTCTCCGTGAATTTAACCACGACCATAATTCAATATCCGATAACGGTTCCTAGGATCGATCTATACGCCCTCTATTCGACCGGTACATAATCAAGTCCACTTTTAAGGACTATAAAAATGAGGACGCCATGATCGTTTTAGTCACCATGGAAACATCTCAATATCGATGCTCCAGTTATTGAGTCTATAGTAAAATATTTCATCAATGAAGCAATAAAACAAGTCAAGTGATCAAAATGATCCATATTCCGAATAAAAATATAATTCGTAGTTCAAAGGGAAACAAAGTTCAATAACATTTGATAAGCATAAAGGAAATTCAGAACAAATTATTCGGAATTTATCACAGATTATCCGGATTAGGAAGCCTTACGCAAATGGCTATCCCCGTGTCAAGTGAGATATGAAATCCATACATTAACCGAATTTGACAATTAACGCACGATCTAACGGAAATTCACGATCAAGTTTGATTTGTCCGCGTGCCTAACGAATGTATAAACGGGTTACTATTTATAAAGCATAGAAACCATAATATAACTATTCTAATAAATTTACTTAGGTCTTAATCTACTTAAACAACGTAGACTTCAAGAAGAACAGCTGGATACGAATTGAAAACTCAAACGTAAAACTTACCCTTATTCTCTTTCGATCCAACCGCTTCCGTCCCTCTTATTTCTAAGCATTTTTACCTTACTTAGAGACCAATCCAGATTATATTTTCTAAATGAAAGTTGTAGATTGTATCATACGAGTCCATTGCTTTTGAAATCATCTCATTTGGATCATCCATCTATTTTATATGAATTTTACAAAACTGTAAATTAATACCGAATACAGTGTAAACAGCCCCAAAAACACACTGTTTCGAGCCACCTAGAGTCATAACTGGATTTTTGACTCTTCATAAAAGTTGTAGTATGCAGTAAGATCTTTCTTACTGCAAAATACGAGCGTATTCCGATATACGGTTTGTGAGTTATACACTGCCAAAGTACATAAGTTGCATTGTCGGTAAAATTCGATTCCGTAATTCCCGACTAACTTTTATGATCCAACTTTCATGATTCGCTACATTTACATGCTATAAATATACTGAAACATACTAAACAGTAAAACAAGTCTAATGGTCGTTAACCTAAGCTTAATCATGCATTTTTACTCTTTTCGACATTTAACCGAACAATTGGTGTACGGTTAAACAAATACCCACAATCTAACCATATTGAAACTATAATATACCATTTTTATTTCTACATCAATATAACCAGTCCTAGCATCCTAAGCATCAAATATATCATAATTTTGACAACATCAATCCGTAAACTTAGACATAAACACAGTTTATAAACCGGTCTTAATAACCCTAATATAAACACCTTAATAAAATTGAATGAAATTTATACCTTTAAGAAGGGTTCGTAGAGTGGATTTCGAATATATAATTGTTACCTCGATCCCCTTAGTAACTTGACTTGAAATTAAAGAGAAAATGAAAGTTTTTAGAGAGAGAAAACGAGAGAGAAACTAAGATTGAGAATGAGGAGAGGAAAGTTTTGCGGTTCATCACGGCCTTCATATGCATATGTATATATAATTTATTTATTTATTTATTTAATTATATATATATTATATATATATATATATATATATATAATTTAACTATTTGACGGTCTTAACCTTTTAAGTTAGATTTTCAACTTTATGTCAATATAGATATAAACTTAACTTTTGACACAAAACTAGTATAAGGTACAAGTTAACGAAACACGGATATTATATCATCATTTACGTATTTATGAATAAATATATTTTTAACTCTGACAAACGTATTTTATAAATGATTAAGTTGTTCATTTTCAGGTAGACCGGTCATATTAATAGTAATATTTTTTTTACTTTAATATATTGTTTTCATGTTAAAACCTTGTTCAATTTTTTTTTCCTGATACATCTCAAGTCCTATAAAGTATAACAATTTAATATTCCTAAAATTGATAAAAGATTTCAGATGTATGAGGATAATGCGTTTGTGATTTTAGTGTCATAAAGTATTTGTGTATTTTATTGGTAAACTATAATATGAATTAGGAGGTGCAAAATGCATGTTTGTATAAGCTATATTGGACCAAAATTCGCCATAAAACCAGGGGTCATACGGGCAGCAGCACCTCTAGTAGGGTCAAGGGGAACTGATACAGTCTAAGAAGCCAATATTAGAAAGCCAAAATACTTGGCCTTGATTAAGAAGGCTAAGTATTAGTTAGAAGACCGGTCCATAAGCTGATTCATGAACTCAGAAGTCTAAGTTCATAAAGCAATGTATATTAGAAGATAAGCCTTTTACTCAGAATGCAGAATGCATTCACTTAAGAAGGCGATACTTAGCCTCGGAAGTCGGAAGGCAAGTTATCTTCTAAACTTTAGTACAGTAACAGTTACTTGATCTTATATGTTTGTAGTTATTTGATAATTATTTTTATTTTCAAATAATTAACTAACCGTCTGAATTAACTAAAGAATAATTTTCTTTTTCGACTTCTTTTAACATACGAAAAGCGTAAGAATTTATTTTGTTCACAACTAATTATGTGTTTTTGCAACTATACCATCCAAATACCAAAGGTTCAAAATAATTACGCATTTATGTGTTATTTGGGCATAACTTTTAATAATTTATAATAAATGGTATGTTGAGTTTTTCGACAAATAAAACTAATTTTTGTAAATCGTATAGAATAAAGAAAATGACCATCTACCCCGGGTCGAGTCGGGATGTGGTGGAATATTCTATCTACCCCAGGTTTGAGTCCAGACGCTAGCATCTTGTGGTTAGGCTTGGTCTTAGACGACCGTAATTTACCAGGATGTAGTCTAGGAAATTGTCAAGGTGAACCTTTAAAAAAAACTGACTTTTCTATGGAACTTCTTTATTGCATTTAAACATAGGTTTAAAGGTCATCAATATAAGGCTCGTGGGGGGACCTGCGTAGGGGAATACAGTTGTACTTGCCACTGTTTTGTGGTTCTACCATAATGAAAAAAATATATTCCTGAAAGATACTATCATAATATTTCATTGTATGTACTTGTATTCCTTCAAACCACACTTATATACATGTATATGCGTATGTATACATGTACATGTATATGTAGATGTATATATATACATGTATGTGGAGATTCAAACAAAATCATCTCCATTTTACGAAAACGCAAGAACACCCTTGTCACATATGATACTACATGTGACGGAACCTGGTGGTGTACAAACGGCTTGGCTCGTGGCCTAGGTCGTGTCAAAGGTTGTTTGTATCTCTAATATAATATCACATATTATGGATTAGAGTATCACATAAGAACAGGCCCGTTCGTAAGGGAGGGCGGGCTGGGCTTGTGCCCAAGGCCCATGGAAAATAGGGGTCCTAAAAGAAAATAGTTATGTAATATATGTTATAAAATGTTTAGTTATATAAAATTAGGCCAAACCTGTGTAAGACCAAAAGCCTTTGAGCTCATCCCCAAACCAATCAGATTGAAGACGTGAAAATTGAGAAACCAAGAATATCTCTTCGTCTTCCTTCCTTCTACTTTGCATCGCACGTATACGAAAAATCTGCTCAAGCCGATGTCGACCTTCCAATTTCCAGCAATAGTCTTCAATCACAATGGAAAAAATCCCATGGAATACATTTCTTATGTACCTATGGGTGCTATGTTGGATTTGAATCAGGTAATTTTCTTGCAATGGTAATCTTTAATTTATGGTTCTTTATATCTTTCGAGTTCGATTTGATATTGACGGATTGACGTTACTTTTCTCCAATCTCCAACATCTGAATTCTCAAATCTCACTTCTTGGTTCTACATTTTTGTTTTGCTATTGTGATTTCAACAACCAATTTCATGTTCAACTGCTCTTCACTACAAGAAATCGAGAAATCGAAATCGAGATTCTTGTCCGGAAGGTAAGCTTTTGCTTAAATGTTAATAATTAATTTGATGTTTTTGCTAATTTCCCTGTAATTTATTTGTGGATTTGAAAGACCTTGAGTTTCAAACTTCAATTGTTGAATCTGATAAAAAGAAAATGGTGTATGTTTTTGTCAATTTATGTGTTTAGCCATTGTGTCTAAGCCGTTTACAACTACTAGAAAAACAAGTCTGTAACATTAAGAAATCCACTCGCTTTTAAAACATTACTTTTTTGCCTTCTTAAGTCAGTTTACCAAACAAATATCTCCATTCATTTCCAGTTGTATAGCAAAAAGTTTTGACTGCCAACTAAGGTACCCAACCTACCATTCCATCAAAATCAAGGTTGAACTGTGGACAGAGAGTTTTGATTAGAAATTCTTCTAGAGCATAATTGAATTGAGGGTTGTTAGAAAAAAAAATTAGTGTTTTTATCACAGATTGTTTTTTATACTCCGAGTCCTCCATTTGAAGAAGTTTTGCATGAAGTATAATTATTTATTGTATGCAATTTTACTTTTGATGATAAAGAAAACATTTGTTTGAGATTTGTCCGGGCCCATTTTCTATCGCTTGATAAGAACACCCATATAATGTCAGGAACGGGCCTACATAAGAACACCCATTTTACATGTGATAATAAGGAACCTAGCAGTACTTGGCCCACAATTTAGTTCGTTATCAAATATATGATATGTAGTATAACATATTAAAAATAGAAATCCAGAAATTCGAGAATACCAAAGAAAACAACTCTTTTTGCCAGCATCAAGAAAGAAATGAAGAATATGTGTACCACCAATAAACAAAATTCAACAGTTTGAAACAAATATATTCCTTCCTAATTCACAACGTACTCTAAAGAATTTAATCAAGGGAACTGGAAAGAACCTCCAATTTCATTTGCACCAGCAGGTGGATTGATGGCAACCCAAAGAAGCGAAATCGTGATCGCGATCAGCCCCGACCACACGAAAACAATCGTCGGTGTCCTCCCTCTTCGTCCCATCAGCCCCTTCGCGAACGGATACAAATGAGTCAACACCCAGAAGCTAAAAAACACCCCGCCCAACAGTCGGCTCCACTGCGGTATCGCGCTGTAGATCGTTCGGCTAACCCCAACCGCTATCGCAATCAGATTTGTCATCATGATCACAATTGGCGGAATCATCAAAGATGTCCATTTGATGATGTAAAGGTCGGCAAATTCATCATCTTCGTCACCGCCGGATTTTGATGTTAGAGTGAACGAGATCTCTATTCCGGCAACCACTTTCAGAAGACCTTGAAGAACGGCAGCAAGATGGGCACTGGTGCCGCCGATGAGCCAAAACTGTTCATTTCTCCACCATTCTTCTAGCTCGATACCGGACCATTTGATCTCGAGAACAGCAAGCATGCATAGTGTCAAGGTGATGGCAAGAAGGTATGCGAGGAAGGTGACATCGAGGCTCTGAACGATGAATTGGCCGGAGAAGAGGGAAAGAGCGGGAAGAAAGCAGTAAACAATGAGGAAGATGGAGGTGAAAGGGTATATCCCGACATTGAGGTATGCGATCCTCTGGAGGAACTTCATCTTCGAACTAGCTAAAAGAGCGTTGTTTTTTGAGAAAAAGATTTCAACAGAACCAGTGGCCCACCGGAGCACCTGATGGAGGCGGTCGGTCAGATTGATCGGGGCGGTTCCCCGAAAAGCATCTCTCTTGGTCACGCAATAAATCGACCGCCATCCCCTGTTGTGCATACGGTATCCCGTTACCACATCTTCAGTCACGGATCCGTAAATCCATCCAACTCTATTTCCCCATTCGGTTTTGTCTTCATACCAACACGAGATCACACTGATCGCTTCAGCAACAGTGGATGCGTCAAGAAGTTCTCTCGGAATCGTAAGTGCACCGGGCGGCCGACCATTTTTAACCGCCGGGTGATCAGCAAGAGGCCGGCCTTGGAACTCTGCTATCGGAATCGTATCTATCAGTAAACTCGAATTGCCAAACCTTTTAGGGAACAAAGAAAGACTCATATCCTCCTCATCTGAGTCTCCCATTCTCATAGCTCGGTTTTCCTCAGGTGCAGATGCGACCGAGCTTTTCTTACGACGAGCAAAACAACAACTGCAAAATCCCGAATGGTATTCTTTGGATCGAGGAGGGTCAAACCCGTAAAGCGCAGTTCTACGAAAGAGGGTTCCAGTACCAACATAAACCGGACCTTGAAGACCATCAAGGGCCCGCATGTTCCCATCAAAGAAAACCGTGTTGTGATTGGCGTAACGATCAGAAGGATCGATCCCTTCGAACCTCTGCGGGAACTGCACGTAACAGATCCGGTCTCCACCTCGGTCCATCATAAAGCACATTCCTTCTCTTATAGCCTGAGAGTTGTATATATAATGATCACAATCAAGATTGAGCATGAATGGCCCGTTAGACATGATAGCCGAGGCCCTAACAAGCGCATTCATGGCTCCAGCCTTCTTGTTATGATCATAGCCGGGACGTTTTTCACGAGAAACATAGACCAGAAGAGGAAGTCGAATATCAACTTCGCTAAAATCAAGCGGGTTCACCTCACCATCGGTGCCATTTAGTGGTTCATCACTCGGTGGTTTCAGCATCACCTGGATTTTACAAAACAATCATAAACCCCAAATCCTAAACAGTAAAGTTCAAAATTGAAATGAAATTCATTCGAACACAAAAGCAGTTTCGTAATGGTTACCTGTATGATGCCGGCATGATCACCCTTCGCATGTTCTGGAGAAGCCATCATCCAGGTTCCAGGCCAATGAGTTGCATCTGCCATCCATGTTGCTTTAGGGACCTTCACAGGTTGCAGGAGTTCATCACCAGCGGTCTCTTTTTGAAGCTTCATGGCTTTAATTTCTTCTCTGGCATTATATGCATCAGACCGACGACGAATGGAATCAGGAAGACCATTAATCCGGACCTTAAACTCATCGTACTCACGCTTAACTCGTCTGCGATCCTTAACAAAGTCCTGTCTCACCTTGTTCTTAAAAGGATCCCTTTTCAAATTGAAATAAGACTCGGGATTCCTTGGCTCGATATCATGTTTCCGACAAAAAGGGACCCACAAATTGGCAAAACTTGCAGCTTCTGCCATGGCCTCGAAGGTTAAAAGAGCACCACCATCATCAGAAACATAACAAGATAGCTTGTCAACAGGGTAATCAGCAGCAAGAATAGATAAAATGGTGTTTGCAGTAACAAGAGGTGGTTCTTTATCTGGATCTGCAGTAGAAACAAAGACATCTACCCCAGGAAGATCAGACTTTCCTGAAGGATTTTGGGGACTTGGGGTTTCAAACTTTTCTTTCAGTACATTGAGGTCAGTTGCACGATTAACGGGTGCGAGCTTGGGAAGTTGGTCAAGCAGCCAAGAGAATGCAAACCAGATCTCACAAACAATTGACATAAACCAGAGCCATATTGCATCTTCATTGGGGTGAGTGATTCTCCAATGAAGAAATAATCCAAGAACCACCATCCGAATCAAGGCTAGGAGCCTGCATAAACAATATACCAAAGAGACATAAGTTCATAACTCGGTGTATAGCTAAATTAAAATGCGATCAGGTCATCAATGTACATACCGATAAGGACTTATAATAGCAGCAGGTATCTTCAGTTTGCGAGTAAGAGGCCGCCACGGCTTGTTTAGAAGCTCTAGCTGTTCAGCTCCAGTTACCCCAGTTCTCTCGTTGCTTAATCCATCATCTTTAGGCCAAAACGCGTTGCCATAACCATAAGTCCCACTTGTCTCAAATAACCACCGATTATGATCAAATTCCCCTGTTTGGCTCCTAACCAAAGCCGATTTGGTTGACTTCATCAAAGACAACCTCCTCTCCATCTTTGAGGACGTCCTCCTTTCCATTTTAGAACTTGGAATATTTGATGGCAGAGATAAAGGCTGTCGTGGGTCGACACTGTTCTGATCAAGATCCGTTTGCTTATAAGGCTCTTTACATCCTGGGCAGATCCCATCACCAGTTTTCACAGCATCAATGTAACAATCTCGACAAATCTTGAAATCACATTCACAAGGAAGGATATCCACACCCCTTTCATCGCTCATAACCATTCCATCACACCCAGGAATTTTACACGAAGACCCTTTTGCACCAGCCATCTGAGGATGGCTAGTTTCAGAATCAATCACTTTGTCCATCAAGTGGGCACGCGTTACACTGTTAAACCCGCCGGTAAAAAGTGAATTCGAGACATATTGCTCTTCAACCCTCTGAGATATCGAAGGATCCATGGGTTGATTATCAGGTGTAGGAGGTATGTGGACTGTATAGTTCATGAACTCAGCACTGCCAATTTCACTATCAAGATCTTCTCTTGAATAGTTGACATAGCGACCTGAAGAGGTCCTCCTAGCAAAAGTCACTTGTGGAGGAATCGGACCCCTGCCCTGTTGTAGTTCTAAAGCTTTGGGTGATCTTGAAGACATGATTCACTGAATTTTGTGAAAGAAGTTGCGACCTAAATATTCCAAGAAATCCACTGATCACCTAAGAGAAAGAAGAAAACCAAGATAAAGATCAGGAAGAATTTAGAATAAAACCAGGTTCTGATCATATACAGGTATATAAACATCATCCATTGACAACAAAAGAACCTGATAATCGTGCAAGATCAAACCATCCCCCCCCCCCCCCCCCCCCCTCTCTTTTCCTTCAGGCTAAAAACGTGAAAGATGACTAGATTGATCAAAAGCACAAAACTCATGACCAACATCGTGCTCTCATCATTTAACCCCTCTTTTCTCTGTTCCTAAACAAGTTTTACGTTCTAAAAGCAACACAGTAATCCACTATAAAGCACATTAACAGTTCATATTGATCTCGATATGAGAGATACCATGAGTAATTAAGATATAGAAAAGGAAAAACTACGATTGAAGGTACCTAATTTGACATCAAAGCATCATCCATGGAAGAAACCCCAAAAATATTTCCTCTCACTAAGCAGAGCAAGCAGATGAACTAAAACACATAGATTTGTTCTTCATATATACGACTTGGTATTAACTCGGAGAAATATTATATTTATAATTTCAAAAAATCATATAATAAAACAAATTCATAGAAACAATGAAGCCGCTTCCCCAAGAGCGTGTGAAGAAAAATTCAAACCAACCACATACAAAGACTGAAACACACTTGGACATCTTCCATATTACAACTGTAATTTGTTTGGATGACCTAAACCAACACTGCAAAAATTATCAATATTTTAATTTGATTACTAAATTAAATAAATAGTCGCAATCAATGTAAAACATTCATTTCAAATGCAAAATCACAACTTGTTGAAAGAGAAAATTTTGCATCGGAACTTCAATGATGGTTTAAATGTTCAACGAAAGGGACAGCAAGTATAAGACATCATAAACTCAGGTAGAAATCAAAGAACCGAAGCCTGGTCATACAACCGCCGGCTCCGGCTTTCCATTTTTAAGGAGAAAAAACCCTAAACAGTACGGACAAACATGTGTAGGCGAGATTATAGCAGATTAAGTTACCTGTGCAAAACGAAGATTAAAAAATTCAATTGTTTAAAGGATAATGTTGATAGATCTTGTCCGGATTATAATGAGAAAGAATCAAAGATCTTAGGATGAATCGCCGGAGGAATCCTACAAATGGTTGTGTTGCCGGAACACTCTCCGGATGTAGCGAATGTGTATAGTGTGTAGTGTGTGTGAGAGAGAAGAAGAAGAAAAGCAGCTTGAAGGCATGAAAATGGCGAAATTTGGGGAAGTAGGAAGAAGAAGGATAGTTTTGGAATTTGGTGTGGGCCCAACCCTTGCTATTCTACGCGGATGCCTATCTTGGTACCTATTTGTGAATTTCAATATTTTTTATCTGAATAAGAGTTAAAATAATAAACATAAAAAGAGATTTTATTTTTAAATATATATTAGAATGAGATGTATCAGATCAATTTTTCTATCGGATATAATTTATGGATGGATTTAATATTAAAAATGATCAAGGGTCCAGATCTGTTACTATACTTGTAACCCTAACCTTAACATATTGGGTAAAAAGTTGATTACCAATAACTTTAACCAATCTTATATAATATTTGCTTTCAATGATGTTAATGTAAAGCGATATTCTTGATTTACTCAGCAACTAAGGCTAACGAAAAACGTGATATTTTCAAGAGATTTTTTAAAATAGAAAAAGAAAATTATATTTTTTTTCTAATAAAAATTTAAGATTTTGTTTTCTACTTTTTTAACAAAAAAATTATATTATTTTTTAAAATAAAAAAAAACATGGTAAAACTCTAAATTTCAAAAAAAATCTGTTACTAGTATTATGTTTAGATAATAAAATTATAAAAATATTTTAATAATATAATTTATATTTAAAACTTTTAAAATAGAAAATCTTATTTTCAATATTTTTATTTCTTATTTAAAAAATGTTATAAATAATCCTTAAAGATATTGCTTTGCAGGAAAAAAATATTTAAAATATTTGAAATGGCGATATTACCCTTATTGTGACGTTATCCCTACAAACCTCACGCAGACAAGATTACAGGAACATTCCGAAACTACCCTCAGGAAAAACATTTGAAATTATTTTGGGGAGAAAAAATGAAAAAGAAAAAGAAATAAACAACGGGCAAAAAAACGGATGAGAAAGCATTGTCTGTGGGCTACCCCACGCGTTTTAAAAATCTCCCTTTTCCCACTCCAACGTATGTCCTTGTTTTTCTCCGGCGCTGTGCCGGCACTTCCTTTTTGCAAAATAATAATAATAATCATTATTTTATTTATTTAAGAATAAATTATTTGGTGGTTTGTTTATCTTTTAATAATTTCATTAAAAAACAGTTTTTAAATTGTTAAGAGATGAATATTACTTAGTAAAAAAAAATTGTTTCTTAAAAACCTCAAAATGATTTTGTATCATGGACCTCCCTTAACCATCCAGCGCTTTGATTTCACTGTAAACAATTATCAACTATTGTATTTTATTTTGCACTATATTATGAAAGTATATTAATCCTTCTGACCACAAAAAGAATGTGTTTGGGAATAGTTCAAATTGTATTGTTCCTAAATATATATTAAAAAAGTTTAAAGTTTATCAAAACCGATGAAACATAATTCGTGTAATTGTTGGATGAAAAATAATTAACTGAATCTAAGAATTTTGGAACAGGTATTTTGGGTTGTTTGATATACAATCTGGAAGTTTCGAACCCAACTTGTGTTTAGTCCTCATCTGTTGGGATATTGGATTTCGTCTTTAAAATTCAGTTCCTCCCACATTTATGGATTTCCATTCATGCTAAGAACTTCCATTTCTCGTGGGTTCAATCAGTGATGGATCCAGAAACTTAGGTGACTGGAGGCTCTAAGGGTATAAGAAAATCCAAAATTGATAATTCATTCGAATCACAAATGGTTTCGGATTATTCTGTTTGCGGGTTTAACAATCGGTTAACTAGAAAAGGTAAGTTTCAATTTCGATTTTTTTACCATGTCAGTGAATCCAAATAGCAAGTTATACTGTTATTTTTACCATGTCGATTTCGATTTTTTACCATGTTCGATTTATATTATGCATATCATTCAATCAACTAAAATAATTTGATCGGTTTGACTTGATACGATATCCTATAATCGATCATACAGTTTGGAAAAATTTAAAAAAAAAACTTACTTTGTTAGGTTTTACAATTTCAAGTTTCAAACAGACAATATTGACTCGATCGAATCATTTATATTAATTCTCAGGAAATATTAATAATGGGTATGTAGTTTAATATGGTAAGAACATTTGTTTATTTTTAAAAGACTGGTTCTTAGTTATATTTTTTTTTATATTTTATTATCTTTTTTATGAATAACCGAATGGTGTATTTTTATATGTTATGCAATGAAGTGTTCAACGTGTTTCTAAAACATAAATGATTTCATATATGTGTGTGTGAACATTAATAAATACTGATCACATGTGTTTTTATTATGTGAAAAATGGGAGAGGGAAGAAAAATCAAATACAACCCACATCGACTTTGATCAGACTGGTTTAAATTAATAAAACCAAATTTATCATCTTGATCAAGATTTTACAACTCAGAATTCTACAAACCAAACCTGGCATCATCATTTTGACTTTGTCGTGAAATAAGCTACTATGTGATAGTTTTAAAAAAATACTAGAAGGGTACTCATGCAATGCAGCTAAATAAATCTTTATTTTAATGTTTAGTTTTTATTATTTGTCTCTATCGGTATGATACGATTTTATTTTATTTTGATAAAACGATAATATTTTTATTTTTGGATGAATATAAATTTGAAGACAGCATAAAAAAATTAAAATAAATAAAATCGATATTAGTATTAAATTAACTATCTAATAGTTCTCGTTTTTTTTTTGTGTAACTTTTTTAATTCAATTTTTTATTATAATTTAATTTTGAATCTAATAACAAAGTAATTTATTTTTGGTTTATTAATATAATTTATATTAAAGATAATAATTAAACATTCGATTAGAAACTCAATRATTATCTTAATTATATTTTAAATTTCTATATTCAAAATAAATATTTATCTTGTATTTAATTAAGTTTATCTGCAGTTAGTTACACGAATTTAAAAATGAAGCTTTAATAAGTTGTACTTACGCAAAATCACTTGTAATCTTGAATTTTAAGTATTATGCATCAATAAACAGTATTTCATGCATAAAAATGATTTTTAAGAGTTTTTGTCAAATGCTTTATAATATAACTAGAAGGGTAATCGCGCAATGCAGCAAGATAAATCTTCATTTTAATGTTTAATTTTTATTATTTGTCTCTATCGATATAATATAATTTTGTTTGGTTTTGAAAAAGCGACAATGTTTTTTTTTTTTAATGAAATATAAATTTGAAAGAATTCGATATTAGTATTAAATTAATTATTTAATAGTTTTCGTTTTTTATGTAACTTCTTTAATTTAATTTTTTATTATAATTTAATTTAGGTATAATAACAAAGTAATTTATTTTTGGTTTAATAATATAACTTTTATTAAAGATAATAATTAAACATTCGGTTAGAAACTCGATAATTATCCTAATTATATTTTAGATTTTTTATATTTTAAAATAAGGTGTTTATCTTATATTTGATTATGTTTATCCGTAGTTAGTTACACGAATTCAAACATGGAGCTTTAATAAGTTGTATTTAATACATAATTTACTTGTAATCTTGAATTTTAAGTAATAAACAGTATTTTATACATAAAAATGATTTTTAATTTTTTTTTTCAAATGATTTATAATATAATATAGATAATAGATATTTGAATTTTAACTAACTCATGTTACATGATCAATTTTTTTGACTCAGTGTAATGTAATAATCACAACAGAAAAATTACCAATTAATAATTAGACGTTTAGAGTAACCCCTAATAAGATAAGATCAATACGCAATCAATATTATTAATATAATGATAATTGATGCGTTGGCCATATTTATAAAATTTGGAATAACTTTTTGTTAACGTAATTTTAAAAAATGGGATATTAATTTTATATATATAATATTTTAAGTATAAACTTATTTATTGAATGTCGGAAACAATTTATAGTTAAGATTCTAACATCGATCGCTACAAACACATGATGTTTTTTGTGGGCGAAATAATCTGTCGGTAAAAGTCATTAGTTGTGGATTACTGGTAGTCAACTTTTCAGAATTTGTCGGTAATTCGTCTGTAAGAAACGTTTTTTAGAACTTGCACATGTTAACATCGAAGTTAACGGATACCAACATGGAAATGCTAAAATATGTTAACATACCTTATAATCACATGTAATTACATACTTGAATGTATGTTATTATGTCAATTCGTATAAGCTTTGGCTATCAATTATTGAATTTCGATGAAAATAAGAGTTATAAACTTTCATATAGTTTCATCTACATTCAGCTAGTTTTATCTGATTTTTTTAGAGTATCTCCAACAAATTTTTCAAAGTTTCTTTGAAATTGAGTATAAAAAACTCAAAATCTATAATAAAATAGTCATTCTACTCCAACATATTTTTTATTTTGAATATTACAACATTAATCTTATTATTAAAATATTTCATACAGGTAACAAAAAATTATTTATCTATGAGGAATTTTTTATCATGTTTCTATATTTTAGATAATATC